TGCCCACCTCTTCTGCATGTGATGCAAGGGTGAGGGTAACTGCTCTGTGCTTGCACCTTTTAAAAACAAGTCAGCAATAGCAACATATATCCTGAGAAGTTCTCTTTAAATTAAATGAAGGCCACAAGAAAATTGTAAAGCTTTGTACACACAGGTATTTTATATGGGTGCTAAGCTTGATACGCTCAGAAGTTATGTGCCATATCTTTTTCCATATAGGGTGACCTGCAGACAAGGACTTCAGATAAGCCATTTAATGCGCAGGCCCCTGGATGGAAGTACATGAGGCTACTTATGGGACTGCTTTTGCCTTTCCAATCAAATTAACCTGTATGTGGCCTAATGTGCTGTTGTGGAGACGGTGGCATGTTAGGCTACCTAATGGGACTACTTTCCACTTCACCATCAGGTAGACTTGTTGGTGTTTTTGGGGGACCTCTAATATACTGCTGTGGAGAATGAGATACAAGAGACTACGTAAGGGGCTACTTTACACTCAACTAATGTACAAAGTTTTTAGAGCTACTTGAAACTTCTACTTGCAGGATATAAACCTAAAGGAGGACCTTCCTCTGCCTGTGGAGGAGACTGTTTCATAGTGGGGTAATGTGAGGTACGGAAACACATTAAGTCTTTCCCCTCTGCTAGCAGTTGCATGACATTTGTCTGTTGCTGAATACCAGAAGGGAGCTGAGTTATGTGCATGGCAGGCTACGTTCATTTGGATTAGGCTGGAGTCCTTTTATTGGTTTTCAGGGATGCATAATGCATTTGTGATCACGCTCTGCATGATGTGAAGAGAGAACAGTATGATGGGAGACTCTAAGTTTTATCTGCCAGCTAAATTCTACAGCTCCCACAAAGCTCTGTGTTTTGCATCATCACACCTGTAATGTGCTTGGGAATATTAAACCTCTCTCTAATGTAAAGCCAGCTCAATGTGGACACAGAGCCAAGTTTAGTTTGGGTTCTTTTATGAAGAATGAGAATTCTTTTTAATTTTAGACATATTAGAGGATTGTTTTTAGAACATACCAGATTTTATATGTAACATCACCCCTATTTTCTCCACTGTTCTCTCCCCATCATATAGTAGTGGTTTTATAAGGGTGTACAAAGTACATTAACCAATAATTACTATTAGTTTTTTTCTGGTTCATGTTATATTTATGTATGTAACGTCATTGTCTCCATTGGCACCATATAAAGTAACTTTTAGGGCTTGATTATACTACAGCATACAATGTATATCTGTGTTGCAATTCATTCATAATTGCGCTCCATACACATGTGTGCCAAAAAGCACCACCATGTATCACATGTATCACTTTGTTTTACCTGATGAAGGAACCGGATGCGTTACGAAATGCTGCTACACTTGATGATGTAACTGTAAACATGGAATAAAAAGAACTTTGCTTGGTGAACCTTTGGAGTGCTGGTGACTTAATGTTTTGTTTTACCAAAAAGCACCACGACACATATTACTATGGTTACTACGGGTTACTGCTCCAGATTCTGCCTACTCCAGTTTTCATAAATTCCCCTCTGTTTAAAAAAAATATATTTAATACTTTTTCTTTAATCTTATATAAGTTTGAGGGAGTTGGAACAGAAATTTTTGAGATCTTTGGGTTCCCTGCCCTCTTTTTGTTTTTTCGTTATTTGTGACTAACATATGAGGAGAAATGTCATTAAAGTATTAATTAGCTTGTTACACTAGAAAATACCCTATGCACAGAAATCCCTAATTGGAGCTGATCTAATAAACAGGTTTACACATATGGAGTATGAATAAGTATCAAAATTTAATAATAACAGAATAAACACATTGAAACACCTTCAACAAAACATTTAAAAACACTTAAAAATGACTTCCCTCAGGATAACCCGATAAGTGTAATAGTCTGAGCGGCAGATAGTCACTGGTGCATGCACAGCGGCCCCAATCAAATGTGGATACTTAGTATGTGGGCTTACTCACGTCAATTAAGATTCAAAGTGGTGGACAATCCTCATAGAATCCTGTGCTGATATGTTATTTGCCGTGGAACAAGACTGCTCAGTGGCATGTCCAGAAAATCCAACTAAGTTAGGTGAAAAGCCGGATCTCGGGGTTGCCTCTCCACCCACTGATCTGTGCTCGCAATTGCCCACAGAGTTTAGTTTCCAAACCGTGACGGGAACATCCAAAGAAATTCAAAGCTTGTACGGCCGCGCAGCTGAATGAAATGTGCTGGAGTCCTCACAGCGATGAGCCCGTGATGTAATGAAGCCCAAAGCCGAACAAGATCGAGTGGCAATGACTCGCTCGTACTTCTCAATTTTAGCCTGGATTGTGCAGGCTGATCAGCTGCTGCAAATCGGACAGCGTCCCGGTAGTTATGGTTCCATCCCTTGGTTTGAGAAACAGTGCAGTTTGGTTGGCCGCATAAAGGTCTGCTACGGGTATCCAGGGAAGCTTTCACAAACACGTTGCCCTGACGCGTTTCCCCCTTCCTCAGAGGGGCGTGTAGTTTGCGTCTCGTGAAGGTGTGTTAAATAGCCAGTTCATTAGGGCTAATTTGAGTCCAGTTTTCACACAATCATGCCCCGACCCATGATCCAAGGTTATTCGTTTATACAACAAAAACGAATCCAGTATACTGGCACCTGTAAGGCCATAATTACATACATTTCCCAGGTTCATCACCCTCCATTATACAGACATATGCAAAACCCAGCATATATAGTGGATGGTGCACTTTCGTCCTACCTATCCGTTTAACCCTATAATCACATAAAGCGTGTGCTGAAAAACGTAACATAAAGGGGCATTCTGAATCCGAGATCCCCCTAACAGAAAAAAAGGGCATACATAAATCAAACTTTTTCCAGTAGGGTCAGGGATATGCCGGATCACAACATGGACTGTAAGCTAAGTATTGAGTTCATGAATTTCATTGGATATATCGTTACGACTTTTAACACCAGGTCAATCTTATTCTTCTATAAAAAAAAAACAAAAAAAAAAAAACATGCGTCTCTCCATGTGTACCCCTGTTCTATATATCTATCTCTGTTCTATAAAAGGTTTATCTCTCTGTGTGTATCTCTGCTGAGTAATAACTCCAACGATGAATTCTCATACAATGAATATTAACATGAATTAATCTATAGATTAATTAATAGATTTGCCAGTCGATCTTGTTCGGCTTTGGGCTTCATTACATCACAGGCTCATCGCTGTGAGGACTCCAGCACATTTCATTCAGCTGCGCGGCCGTACAAGCTTTGAATTTCTTTGGATGTTCCCGTCACGGTTTGGAAACTAAACTCTGTGGGCAATTGCGAGCACAGATCAGTGGGTGGAGAGGCAACCCCGAGATCCGGCTTTTCACCTAACTTAGTTGGATTTTCTGGACATGCCACTGAGCAGTCTTGTTCCACGGCAAATAACATATCAGCACAGGATTCTATGAGGATTGTCCACCACTTTGAATCTTAAGTGACGTGAGTAGCCCAGATACTATGTATCCACATTTGATTGTGGCCGCTGTGCATGCACCAGTGACTATCTGCCGCTCAGACTATTACACTTATCGGGTTATCCTGAGGGAAGTCATTTTTAAGTGTTTTTAAATGTTTTTAAATGTTTTGTTGAAGGTGTTTCAATGTGTTTATTCTGTTATTATTAAATTTTGATACTTATTCATACTCCATATGTGTAAACCTGTTTATTAGATCAGCTCCAATTAGGGATTTCTGTGCATAGGGGATTTTCTAGTGTAACATAGTTTTATTGAAACCCTGGAGTTTGGTATTTACTTTTACTGTATTTTGCTTAGCTCCCTTTGTTCCCCGTATTTTTTGAGTATTAATTAGCTTGGTAAGTTTGAGGACGATAGACATGTGCAATATTTTTTTAAATAAGCATATAGCTTGAGGTGACCTCCATTTATTATCTCTTTATTAAGGGGCTTAAACTGGCCATACACTGTTCAATTTTTTTTGTTGTTGCAACTTGCTGGCTGAACAAAAATAATAAAACAAATTCCTCCATCACCGCTTACCATCAATGCTCGAGGGATCTCCCGCTGTTTCCTTTTTATTCTGACAGCAGCTGCGTGTGGTGTCAGAATACCCAAACAGAGCAGGCAGCTCATTGGCCGCCGGCTTTGTTCATTCAAAGATTTTCCTCAGCTGATTAAGGTATGCTGGTGTTCTGTTTAGAATCCTGGACAAGCTCAGAGGCACAGTAAACATTACATCAGCTGCCTCAAACAGCGGATCCGGGTCTAGAATTTTCACAGGCTTTTTGCCTGTATTGTGCATGTGCAGGGAAGCCAGTGGGTCCAGAAAATTCACAGGCGAGGCACCTGCACCCACAAAACTTAGCACATAACACATAATAACTAAAGAAATATAAATTAAGTTATGTGGGCGCAGGCGCACATGCGCAAAGCAGGCAAATAGCCTGTAAATCTTCTGGACTCAAATCGGCTGTTTCAAGCAGCTGATGTAATGTTTACTGTGCCTCTGCGCTTGCGCGTTTAGCTGACTCCGCCTGCAACTGCTGAAACCCCGTCACAGGACGTGACACGGTCCAGATTTCTGACACGGAACACCTGAAGAACTGGATGAACTTTGCATAATGTGTGGCCAGCTTAAGTTTGTAGATGAGGGATTTGAGGGGGGTGTCATGTAATGTGGGAGAGTACATTTTACGAAGGAAATGTGGAGGAAGGCCTGATTTAAATTACTTTTTTCTTTTGTTTCTAATAGATTTTCAGTGCAAAGCTATGGGGAGGCAACATTTAAGAGATGTGTTTAGTGTTTTTCCTTTCCTGCTACTTTAAACAGTAATAAATCTTATTGGCCAAAACCGCATTCACCAAAATGGACAGAAGAACGTTGATTGGTTGTTCTGTATTATTGGCCATCATTGCTCTTTGCACCATCTTAAATTTTACTCTCCCATCTGCATACCATATAGCTAATGTCACCTTCTTTATTTGCAGTGTTTTCGAGCCCTCTGCTGTAAGGGTCCTCCACCACCACGCCCTGAATATGATATTGTATGTATAGGTCTCACAGGATCCGGCAAGACAAGCCTTTTATCACAGCTGTGCAGTGAGAGCCAAGACAACATTGTGCCTACCACAGGTAATTATTAATGCAAGTGTCGTTGTTTGGACACCTAGTTAAATGAAAGCCAGCCATGCAAAGTGAATGTATTTGGACAACCCAACTTGGGCTCATGGGCTCTATCAATAATACATTTGGCCATGTGTCAGACACATGCAGTCAATATGTTAGAGTTCTGCGTCCTGACTACGTCCTGTCCTAAGTGGCCAGTAAAATGCTATTATTGGGCAGGGAGAAGGCAGTAGGGCAGGCCTTAGCCCGGAGGTCATGCCTCAAAAATTAGATGCAACTAAATGAAAGAAGCCTTCAGAAGAGGGTTTTGTGACTACCAATGGTCAGTTTAGGCTGCGCAAATGGCTTTAATACAGGATGGTCTAAGTTTGTTGTAAATGTAATCTATAGTTATTTGTTTTCTTTTTCTGTTTTAGGTTTTAGTATAAAAGCGGTTCCGTTCCATAGTGCCATTCTGAATGTAAAAGAACTTGGAGGTATCGTCCTTTTAATTTATATTTCTGCTTTTCATTGGTTTTAAAAATTCTCTTCTGCATAAAAAATTAAATCTTAAAAGTTATATTATGTGAAATTTAGTTTCTTTTATAGGCGTATGTTTCCTAGATTTAATTTGGTCTGCATAGTATGTTTGTCATCTATCTTTATCGATTAAAGCACAATCGCCCATGCCAGTGCTTTTTGCACATAGTATTTAAGCCGATAACAAGGCAAACACTTTATTTGGATAGATTAGAACGTCTGTATGGTTTTTACTGCTACTGTGGGTTTTTTCTGCTACTTTTTACTGAGGCTCCATAAGAGTGATTGACCTTTGCTGTCCAGCTGGCAACATTTGTTTTCAGACAGGAAGAGTAAGTGGAAAGTCTTAAACAGGGACACATACAGACATAAAAATCTGACAGGGGTTCTAGCCTTCCCCTACTCTACTAAAGAAAAACATTTTTCTTTTCCATCTGCATTGCTGTTTGAGTTCACCTCACTTCCTGTTTTGTAAAAGGTCGGCAATACAAGAAGTAATGATGAATTTCTCGAACGGTGCCTGGGATAACAGTAAAATCCTGAATGAGGTTCTAACCCTTCCACACTGCATCCAAAATTAACACGGTTTTTCACAAAAGGGTGAAGAGTTTGGAAAACATCTCCAATTCAGCTCACTTTCCAGTTCAGATATGTTGTCCTAGATTATTCACTTCTGACTTCTCCAAACTCTTCACCCTTCTGTAAATAACCCTGTAAGAGAAAAAAAATGGTCTAGACATATCCTTCAAATTCAATAACAACAGTTTAAAATTGGAGTAGGGCTGCAACCAACTAATCGGTAATGAGAATAATTATCAACAATTCTCCTTATGGATTCTTTGGTTGGATCCCCTAGTTTTCTCCTCAGCACTGGGAGACGGTGTTTCATCTGCTCTGTGTCAGGAGGCCCCTGCAGCCGGTGCCCAGCAGTGAGGAGAGCTCCCCCAAACCTCAGCTCTGTGTCCCCAGGGGCTACAGCAGAAGAGGGACCTGAACTTTCTCCTTCAGGTCCCCCCTCTGCTGATAGTGGGCAGGTGCGATAGCCAGTCTGCAATTGGCTATGGAAATTTTGAAATAGCCAGTAGCAGGCTGGCTATTGCATCTACCCACTGCCTGCTGTGTTTGCATTGAGCTGCCAGCTGTGGAATCTTGCCACTGGCAGCTGTCATTCCCCAGCTGAAGCTATTCAAGTGCAATGTGTGACTGTGAGTTTTTGGGTTTGTTTTCAATTGGCCTGTGGGGTTAGAGGTGAAAAAGCACACAGAGCAAGAGTTTGTAGTCTAGAAGAACCCCCAGGTCTTTTTTCCATCATCACATTCCCCAGCGGAGCACCTCCCAAGAGCATTTTGCATCCATGTCCCTAGCTCCCAAGTGCATAACCTTTTTATAGTAAACCTCATCTGCCATATGAGATGCCATATCTCACTCCTCAGTTTTATCTAGGCCTTGCTTCAGTGATTTAATGTCTTGTTCTGACTTTACTGTCCTACATAGCTTGGTATCATCAAGAAACACTGAGATTGAGCTAGTTATGCAATTCCTGCTCTTACCTGTTTGGGGGTCCCCCGCTGGCTCATTCTGCTGCCGGGGTCCTCCTAAAGGCAAGAGCAGCCAGTGGTACCTGCTTCAGAACCAGAGACTTTGACAAGTAAGCCCAAGGCCAGACAAAACCTTTTTATGTTGCGTACTTTGGGTTAGGAACTTCTCTACACCAAAGGATTTCCACTGTCTCCTTGGTCTGTAACTGAGATAATTTGAGATTTAAAGCTCCACACAAAAATTAATCATTCAGGTACAAATTTATTCACAGATATGATAAAAGAATTTGCCACAAAGCCAACACAATTTGGGGGTCAAAGATCACCCTCTTCCTCAGGGTCTGAAAGGTGGTAATAACTACTGGACTGAATATAGTAATGAATACAAAATGTACGGTTTTCAGACTGGGTTATCTGTGAAAACACAGTCTGTCAGCAGCTGGTTAAAGCAGCACTGAGCATAAAAGGGACAGGAGGTGGAAAAAAACAAAAAACTTCCCAGTGTGGCCATGGAGAGAGATAAAATAGCTATTTTGTGGTATTACGGTAGGCATGGTATCCTTATGACTGGCCCAGTGAGCATACTGTTCCACACCTGGGTCATTCTTTGAGAAGGGGGTCTCTGATTGTTTAATCTCTTTTTTAACTCTATCAACAGCAATGAAGTGTTAGAGCCTGTACTGTTGATTTCTTGTGTTGAGCCTTTCAATGCTGACAAATACATGTGACAAACGCCTGTGGTGTGAACAGGGACTAAGGCCTCATTCTCACAACGTTAAGTCATTCTGCCCTATGGGAGGATGGGACCGTACGCTGTCATACGCACACCCGAACTGCACATCTGTGCAGGTCCGGGTGTCCTTGCTCGGACGCAGACAGGATCTATCCGGTCTGTGTCCGAATACAGACAACCCGGGACCCGCTCGGGTGTGCGTATGGCCGCATCCTCCCATAGGGAAGAACAGGCTGCTGTGTGCAATCACACGCAGCACCTGTCCCTCCCGGGAATGGCCCGATAAGCTGCATGGATGTGCACAGCTTGATTTAACGCTGTGTGAATGAGGCCTAAAGCTTAAACAGGGTTTCTCCTCTTCACTTCCAGCGGCTAAATGCAGTTGTGGGAAGGAGCAAATGAATGGGGAGTGTGTACTACTAGGGAGGGGGAATTAGGATTAACATTTTGCTTTGGCGTACAGTATTCATCTAAAAGTAATTATATGGATTTCACTTTTTATAAACCTGACCTATTTCTGCCATTGTAAAAATACTGATTCGTAGATGTGGGTGATGTGCCTACATCAGTAGGAACTGGTGTAGGACACTCTATTGACCCCTCCCCCAGCAGTTGCCCCTGCACAAATGTACAGGCCTAGTGATAATGTGACTGGGAGTAATACAATCTGTTTCTCACTACTGAAGCAAGGTAAAAGAAAAAATAAATCCTGGGAGATGATCTAAAGTTGGAGACTAAGGTTTGGGGGAAAATTTGGGTCATGACTAGAGATAAGATGCACAGGGAGGCCTCAGTTTTAGTAATTGGTTATGGACTTGCAATGTAGGGTGTAAAACTAGAGTACAACCATTGTGTAGTACCTCAAATCAGGAAAGTGGACCTGAATATGCAACAAGTAAATATGGCTGCCCTCATACGTACTTTTTGAGATGATGAGACTGCAAAGTATCAGAACAGAAATAGATTTTGGGCAGAAACAACAGGTAATTTTGCCCTTATCAAACAGCTATAGCAAAACATGTGCCACTGTATAATAAAAGACCAAAATGAGCAAGTAAGAGAAGATTGTCAGGGTTTACATGCACTTTAGGCAATACAGCTCGGTCACCCCAAGCCTGTGATTGGACAGTAAAGAAGCAGCAACAGCCTGATGAGTTCATCACTCTGCTTTGTGCACTCATCAGCATGTTCCTTGTGAGCGCCTGTGCATGCAGCTCTCTTGATTGGTTGCGAGAGCTGGTCCTCTCTCTTCTAGGCTGAGTTCTGCTTTACAGGGGTTACAAAAGCCTGATGCCAAGTCAAATTCAACTACATACCCTAGTTGCTTTAACCTTCCTGGTGGTAATCCCGAGTGTGGCTCGGGGTTAATTTTCAGTACCAAAAGCGGCAACCCCGAGCCACACTCGGGATTACAGTGTGCGGCGCTTTCCTTGTCCACGAGCCCCGCTTTGTCCTCCGGTCGATGCTGGCATCTGTCTTCCGGGTTCTGTCTCTTGCTAGCGCCCGCGTCACAGGGGGCGGAACCGGCGGGAGATTTAAAAGTAAAAAATAGAAAAATAATAAGAAAAAAATAGATATTCAGACCGCCAGGGAGGTTAAAAATCAAAAAAATTAATTACTTGCATAACTGCATTAATTGATGATTTTAGATTTGCCTGCAGTTTAGATGTAATACAAATTGGTTAGCGTGTCAGCATATAGCTGAAAAATAAATAAATATATATAAACAAAAGAAATGTGTGTGTATGTATATATGTGTATATATATATGTATATATATATATATGTATATGTGTGTTTGCAATGTCGGACCAATATATATATATATATTTATCCTATCATATTATTACTATTTTTTTTTTAAAGACTGCTTTTCCTATCCTGGTCCATATAATGGCACCCCATACACCTACTGCGACCCCTGAATTGGGCTTTATTCATTTTATCCCCTTGTCTCATTTGAGAATTGCTTTGCCTGGCTTCCTGCATTTCAGTGAGTGAATGTGGCTGCAGCATGGCCACCCCCTAACACTGGAGGTCTCCATTTCCAGTAAACACACCTCATGTGTCACTTTTCACTACAGCCTGCCTGACCTCTCTCAGGGAGGAAATTGTCACTTGTGCTGCTGAGAGATCTGCTGACTTCATGAAGGAGTACTCTGTTACATGAAAATTTCAGACGTAGCGGAGGAACTGCTATGAAAATTACCAACTGCCAAAATAAACTTCTTGGAGTTTTGTGGTCTCAAAGGAATTGATGAGCCATATATGTTTTTGTACATATTTATATTTACATTTTTTTTAAAAATGAAAATGTATCTTGAAATGAGAAATATATCTTTGTGGGCTGGAATAAACATTGTATTGTACACACATACATAGCAGGTCAGTTACCTCTATGGAAAGAGGGCAGAGCTGGAAACTCATATGTACAGCTCTGCTGGTGTTCCTGAGAGAGCGAGCTACAGATGGAGATTCTTCTGTGTTAACCTTATAAATGAGCACAGGGTCCATACCTTCAGTAGTGCATCAGTATTACTGTCCCATCATGTAAGTGAAATTTTAACAGGATCCATGGTCTTTTTGCAGTTTTTTTTTTTTTTTGTGGTTGGTTGGCTGCACCAAAGTGCATTATTCCTTTTCTAACGACAGTGTACAGCAGAAGCTAGGTGCTTTTAGATGATGTC